CCAGGAGGTCCTGTGGGGCCTCCTGGTGGTGTGAAGACACATGGCATGCTCTAGCTGTCTACAACACTCCTCTTTTGTAACTGGCCTGATTTTCTTCACTTTACCTGCACCCAGCAGCACAGATGCTCCATCAGTTATATCAGGTAGAAACTGAGCTAACCAAAGTGCTTAATACAGGAACACAAACTTAGGAGTCCAGGATATCTGCTTCCATACTGTAGCTTAAATGTGTTAAAGTTTTTTTTTAATGTGTTAACAAGCTCAAGTAAATGCATTATAAGACATTTGTTTGTTTTATTATCACAGAAGCACAACAGGTACCACTATGCAGGTGAAATCATTACCATGAAGAGGAAAAAAAAAAGTTAAAAGGAATGCTAATAAAAAAAATTTCAATCATAACATGACAGCATTTTTTCAACATCCAAAACAAAATACAATATTGTCAAGTATACATGGCAAAAGAAGCAAAAGCCTTTGGATTATTCACTTCCTTCTACACTCGTCACAGGATACTCGACTTGAAAGTGACACAGGCAACCACATTCCTTTTTCACTCCACCTCTAATCTAAATGGATTCACTATCCAGATATAAAAGTACCAATTATTGGGGCTGTCGCTCAAAAGTAGCATTTCAAAAATCCTAATACTAAAGAGGATATTAAGCTACAAAATAAAAACTAGCCCCGCATAGATGTGGGGGGAGTTAAGGTTATTATTTAGCCAATCAAAAGAAACCTGGACTACCCGAGTGTAAACCTACTTCCCTTTTTGTTGTACATTCAAAAATGAAAACCTCATAAAATGACATCTCAATAAAAAATTTAACAAATGGAAATTATGAGCTCAACTTATGACAACTATGAGAACTGCAATATGATTCCAAGTCCAAAAACCAAAGTTCTACTTCAGGTGACAACACATTAATTTTTAATGAAAACAGTAAAACAAAATGATAAATGGTGGGAACTGAACACAAAAAGCATAGGGAAATGAATACTTGCATACAGAGAGCTACTGCTGAGGGTCAAAACAAACAGTGGTGTATATGAGTAAGCTGGAACAGGATGGACAAACATACAGTTGTGCTCATAGGTTTACATACCCTGGCAGATTTTATATATTTTTTGTGGCTATTTTGCAGAGAGTATGAATGAAAACACTTAACTTTTCTTTCAGCCATGGTTAGTGTTTGGCTGAAGCCATTTATTGTCAGACAACTGTGTTTACTCTTTTTACATCATAATGACAACAGAAACTACCCAAATCACCCTGATCAAAAGTTTACATACCCCAGTTCTTAATATCGTTTATTGCCCCCTTTAACATCAATGACAGCTTAAAGTCTTTTGTGGTAGTTGTGGATGAGTCTCCTTATCTTTTCAGATTGTAAAGCTGCCCGTTCTTCTTGGCAGAAAGCCTCCGGTTCCTGTAAATTCTTGGGCTGTCTTGCATGAACTACACGCTTTGAGATCTTGCAAGAGTGGGTCAATGATATTAAGGTCAGGAGATTGAGATGGCCACTCCAGAACCTTTACTTTATTCTGCTGTAGCCAATGACAGGTTGATTTGGCCTTGTGTTTTGGATCATTGTCATGTTGGAATGTCCAGATATGTCCCATGCGCAGATTCCGGGCCGATGAGTGTAAATTTTGCTCCAGTATTTTTTGATAACATACTGCATTCATCTTGCCATCAATTTTGACCAAATTTCCTGTGCCACATCCCCAAAACATCAGCGATCCACCTCCGTGTTTCACAGTAGGAATGGTGTACTTTTCATCATAGGCCTCGTTGACTCCTCTCCAAACGTAGCGTTTATGGTTGTGGACAAAAAGTTCCATTTTGGTCTCATCACTCAAAATGACTTTGCGCCAGAAGGTTTGAGGCTTGTCTCTGTGCTGTTTGGCATATTTTAAGCGGGATACTTTGTGGCATTTGCGTAGTAATGGCTTTCTTCTGGCAACTCAACCATGCATCCCATCTTCAAGTGCCTTCTTATTGTGCATCTTGAAACAGCCACACCACATGTTCTCAGAGAGCCCTGTATTTCACCTGAAGCTATTTGTGGGTTTTTCTTTGCATCCCGAACAATTTTCCTGGCTGTTGTGGCTGAAATTTTAGTTGGTCTACCTGACCGTTGTTTGGTTTCAACAGAACCTCTCATTTTCCACTTCTTAATTAGAGTTTGAACACTGCTGATTAGCATTCTCAATTCTTTGGATATCTTTTTATATCCCTTTCCTGTTTTATACAGTTCAACTACCTTTTCCCGCAGATCCTTTGACAAATCTTTTGCTTTCCCCATGACTCAGAATACAGAAACATGAGTGCAACACTGTATTAAAGATGCAAGGGTCTGTCAGGAGTCCAGAAACTCATTGACCTTTTATACACACACACTAATTACCAGCAAACAGATCAAGGTGAAGATGGTTACCTTTAATTGCCATTCACAACTGTTTGTGCCAACTCGTGTCATGTTATCAGGCCGAAATCACCAGGGTATGTGAACTATAGCCAAAAAAAATATAAAATCTGCCAGGGTATGTAAACTTATGAGCACAACTGTATATTGGGAAGAAAAGGGGGAAGTAAGCGGGGTGGAAGGTTGTCCAGAGGGCTACTCCTCATCTGAGGAGTCCCTGTCGATATTGTAGGCCATAAAGAAAACATCAGGTCGAGGTGGGACGAGGGCATGGCCTGGTTTCACAATCTCAAAGCCCAGGAAACTGAAGGTACGCACCAGTTTAGCTGAAAGAATAAGGTGGGGACATCAGATAAATATGCAGTACAAATCACAACACAGGAGCCAAAATAATTATTAAAGCTATCTGAGTGTTCTGAGTGAACAAGGTATGTCAGGAAACACGTGGCTGTTGGCACATACCACGATCATCTCGGTTTTTGTAAAAGCAGACAAACACGCTAACGACTTTCAGATGTTCTTCAGCAAACTCCAAGAGAGCCGCAAAACTGGAGGGAGAACAGAGGGCAGCTTGTTAGAAAATGGAGAACAAATTTAACATTATATTAAATCTCAGACTTATCTTGGAGACAATTTGATGCATTTTTTCTTATTGTGTTACTGCTTTTGGTTTCCTTCCACCTGGATTAAAGTGAGCCAACCTGATAGTCAGATTAACAGGGATGAAAGCCTGAAGGTCTACAGGCTGCCAGAGTCCAACAACCTTTTACATTTCATAATAAAACTGAGATTTACATTGTTTACTCTCCTGTAACATGGCTGAAGTGTGCCACTGTCTTGCTAAAAATGCTCCACCCTCACCTCTCCTTGCTGCCTTCAGGAAGAGGGTCAAGAGGTATCTCCACGTAAAGAGCACTGCTGCTTAGGATGGCATCCCACTGTATAGTCTTGCTAATGGTGGGACAACTTTGGAAGTGGAGTATCCCAGGGCGACCATTCCCTGCTGGTTCCTCCGTTACAGTCAACTTTCGGTCCTGGAAACACAAATACATATAATCTATTGGAAAACAGCAGTGGCTAATGTGGTAGATATTGTGAATAGACTGCTTGTTTCTCTCTAGTGTCCAGTTACAATTTAACTTGGATGGAAATGTGGCCCAAGCAATTATATGCACATGTGATCATTGCAACTTAACAGCTGAAATCTCAAAGAAAATTTTAATTTGTCTTATGTTTCACTGCACAGCATAAATGACTGAATCCAATGAAACCCAGATGTACCTTCCAAAACTGTGCACAAACACAATCACATGATAGGAAACGGTTGCAGCGAGAAAGGAGGAGCTCGACACAGTCCGTTCTCCAAAAACAACAGCTACTATGTCTGTATCATAGTTTCTCCAACTACATTTCAGCCCTGTTTGTGCTTCCAGACTTACTGAGTAGAGCGGCTGAGCTGAAGGAGTGTGATCCCGTGTGCCATTCCCTCGCCCACCTGGGATCTTCAGGGGTGGGAGAGGGGCATCAGGAGCACCACAGAGGCCCCGGGCCGCGGGTACTACTACAGTGCAGGGACAGGCTGAAGGTGGGGGAACAAAGAGAAAAGAAAAAGAATCACAATCCACAATGCTCTTAAGAACTTTTTGGTAATTCAAAACATGCCTTGTGTTTCTATACACGTAACATTTTTAGACAACTCCTTGACACCCCATGCTCCTGCATCTCATTTCTGCAAACAAAACTGTCATTTCTTTCTACGTGGCTTCATAAGAATCAAAGTGTTAGATTACACAATACTGCTTGACAAATAACGTTTTCCAATCCATAAACTATAACAAATGCTACAACTACTACCACCTATATGCTCAGTCCACAGGCATGTGTCACACCAGCAGGCCTGGATGATCTTTCAAACAATGGTGCTTTGCTCAGCTCTAGTTCACATTTAATAATACAATTCTCAATTTTCACAGCAGTTACTTAAGGATCAGGGTATCTTTCTTGCATGTAGACTTAAACCATAGCAAGTGTAGCTTTGTTAAAAATAGCTGTGTAACAAATCAACACGTTCCCATGACTCTTATGTCAATAGCATAGCCTGGTTAACCCTTCACGTAATTATGTTTATGAAGACCTGTAAACTCATTCGTCACCCAGATCCATCCATTTCTTCTGTGTGTGTGTGTATATATATATAGGGCCTTAAAATTATACTGATTGTCTCTCCCAGCAATGATAAAGATTTTGTTATTCACAAGCACAGCTACGTCCCCCTCACTGTGTAGTGACGTACTGCCGTCACTATCAAATACTTGTCAACCAACCTGACTCCGACGTCATCTCGCGAGATCACCGTAAGTAACGAACATGTAACCTTAGCCACTTCACTGGCTGACTTTTAGCCCATTAACACAGATATCTCAAGTAATGATGTGAGCTACAATTAAGTTATTATATACATCCTCTTATGTGGCGAAATGATTTGAATTTCACAGACAATGTTTACGAAGAGTCGTTACAATGTCTGTCTTTTTTTTTTTTAAGCAAGGAAGTCTGTCCGGTAATTGAATAGACTGTGATGTGGAGAAATAACGTTACGTGTATATTGTCAGTTTAAATTTTCCAGTACTTTACACAGTAAATTTATCTAGCTGGCTATAACAAGTAAGTAACATTAAAGACTGCTCAACATCGACGTAACATAAGTTCGACGACGTTCTTATTTAGCTGTAGTTTATGTTGCTCAGGTTGTTTGTCAGACCAGCAAGTGAATGTCTATAATTTTGACATTTTCATAAAAGATAACGTTAAAACGACGATTGCCTCGAAACGTAACACTTAGTACAAAGTAGTAGCTACATATAAACTGTAATATATCGTATGACGCGTTTTACTTCCGCTTCTCTGTTGCTGCTAGCTATGTTAGCTTAGCTGCCCCTCCCCCACATCACTGTTAGCAATTAGCATTAACTAAAATGAGGCATTTTTCGTTTACTTACTTCCCAATCATGTTACAAATGCCACTACTTAAATCCGCCATGGTAGTAAAAGACTGCTGTTTTCCTTCTTTCTCGCGAGCAAAGCAATGACTGTTTAGGATCCGCTGGAGGTTGGATTTTACCATCCGGCCTCGGGTAGAGACACGACGTGCTGATTGCTCTCTACTATACTCGGCTGGCTAGTGATCGGTCGGAGAATTGAGCTTGGAGAAAAGGGAAGTTGTCAAGGTACCTACAACGACAGCTTCAGACTTTCTCTGTGATTTCAAAATAAAGGTTGAATGCATTTAAAAGTACTTCGAAATATATGATGTATATTTATACGACTACAGACATCACAATATGGATTGGCTCTCGGGATTAAACTTTGTTCTGTTTGATTTATTCTGTAATTTTTATTTCCTAACATATAAATGGGGTTTTTAGATTCCTTTCAACATGATCATGGATATAGAAAATACAAAGTCCCTTTTTGGGATAAAAGTAGTTCAATGTAAACATGCTGGATTAAAGAAATGCTGGAATTAGCCTATAAAATATATGCAGTGTTTTACTTTTTCTTCATAGAATGTAAGATCAATTTCTACTACTTACAAATTATGACAACATCACAGGTGGTTTATACTCTATTACCTGTTAGAAGTAGCAACTCGTTTGTTTTTTCCCAAGATTTCAGTTGTACTTCATTTAACTTGCTCTTCTGATGAGATGCATTTGAAAGCCATAAAAATCAGGTAGTTTAATTAATTGGGGGGGGGTTACTTACAACATTTCACGGTCAGTTCTACCTGACTCTGCATACAATCTCTCTCTTACATTTGTGGCACTTGGGTGTACAGCTTTAATAGTCAGTACTTTGTTCCACCAACCAAAAATAACAAATAATATAACCCAAAAGTAATTCCTGGCTAGGTTCAAAACATATGAGCTTCAGTTTAATTTTGTTTTAATATGGATAAAGTGCGCAAGTTCCTTCATTTTTCTAAGTTCAAAAATGGACTTTTACATTCAAAGCGGAAGTCAAGGTTACAGCTACGCCTAAAATGAGTTTTACATCTAAATTAACACTCTTGCTAACAAAGCTAACGCTAACCAGAAACGCTAAAGATGCTAGTTAAGGATAAGCCTTTAAGTGCACCTCAGAAAATTGGCCTGACCTTGACCTGTCACTAAATGTCACTAAAATCGTTAGGTAATATTTCAAGTATCGCCACTACAGGATGGCCATTGTCTTTATACTACAATTAATTCTAATGTCATAACTACGCATCTTTCCCGATTATTCCCTTTAGCAAGTCAGCCGAGCAAACAAATAGCTTATGGGATAGGTTAGTAGCCGTTTGGCTAGCAGCTATGTGTTTACATGCGGGCGTAATGGAAAAGTACAAGGGACAGAGAAAAATTAAGAACAAAGACACTTGAGATACATGATTTCCTAATGTCTGAACTCCCACCGTCACCAGGTTTCATCATATTTTGACACTTTGCCAATAATGAAAAGCAGTTAATTTAATTAGGTAGTTTGTTTATTTGGCCATGTGCAGTGGTAGAAAGTAGGTAACCCGCCTAATTACAGTACATAAGTACAATATTTATTCTACAACTTTTAGTTATTTGAACTTTACCTATTTCCATTTTAATGCTAATTATTCTCTACTACTGTTCAACTCTACTCCACTACATTTGTTTGACAGCTATAGTTACTTTGCATATGATCAGACTATAAGATAGGTCTAAAAATTTAACTGTGAAGCAGTTTAATAAGCTACATCATTAGAGCTTGCACGCTATTGCAGTAATAATGTAAATATAGTAATATATAGGCCTATAATCATATTCCATAATTTATAGACCATAATTTTTTTATCATTTTTCATTCTGATGCTGATATTTATGGAGGATACATTTAATAAAGTAATATTTTGAAGGTAGGACTTTTACTTATATGGAGTATTCATAGTGTGATGACAATACTTTTACTTAGGGCTACTTCCTGCTCTGCAGTTAAACTGTCAGCATCACATGTCGGATTAATACCTTCATTGTTCAGTATGCCATTATTCTGTAAACTTTACTTAAGTATTGTACCAGATCATATAACTTTGAGTTACCAAAGTACCATTACAGAGATAAAAGATCAAACAGTTTTAACCACTGGTGGCTATATACCCACACACAGAAGCAAACCGGTGACAGTTTTTTTTTTCCAACATGATATCTTCCTGATAGGTGGCATGTTGAAAAAAGGCTGAGGCAGTTGTCAGGTCTAGGATGATCTAGAGTCCTAGGGCGTCTCTCCCTCCTCTCCTCAGGTCTGCGTCTGGCAGAGCAGCTGAGCCGCAGAGAGGATGAAGCTAAGATACGCCATGGTCTGGGCCTGTCTCTGTGGGCCAGCGGAAACCTGTAGGAGGCGCGGCACCAGGTGTGTGTGTTCACTCACAGCTGCATTTCTGAACTTGTGCTTGTTTCAGAACCCATGTGAAGACAGGATCAGGTGTTTATTGCTGTAGGGATGTTTTGGATGTTTTTAAATAAGGCACCAACTGTGTTTTGTCTTTACGTCTTGTTAGGTAATTTTTTAGTCAGATAGACATTGGTTAGATATTTGTTGTTTTAGGAATGTTTAGTGGAGCCAGGCTGTCTAGCTCAGGCTGTTAAATGCTTAGTCATTCTCATGAGTTTCTTGCAGGGTGCATATGGCCAAGGACAACTAGATAGAAAAAGTTTGCAGGCAGGAGGATATTGTTATTATTATGATATGTGTAACCGTAATTGTAATCATAATATTTTCTTATGTGTAATGTCATGACATGTCACTAGATGTCATGTCAGAATGTTCTTAGATACACACCACATAATCAACATTCACACACATTGATTTTCTTCATGTTTTGACTATTGTTATGGTCAGCTGCAAAGCTGGCATATCAGGTGACGTCACGGTTTGACGTTCCTGTGTAGTATGGGCTAGCCCAACCAAGTGATAATATTGTATAGGCATTATGGTTCAGGATCTTTCATACTTGATTCTGCCTGCGTGCAGGATTGGAGGTGGAAGAGATCTGGACGTGTAATGTTAATTTTACCTGTGATTCTTTGAATAAACCAGCACGGTTATTTTTTATATATCCAAGTGGTCCGTTTCGTCTCTGTGAGTTCCTGGTTAAAAGAAGAAGGAAGAAGCTTACAACAAAAATAGCTTTTAGTCTACATAAGAAACATCTTGTGTTTCCCAGATGTGCCTCAGTAGGGGATGATGGCCTCATTTTGGTGTGGAATATTGAGGTAATATGTTGCTAATTCGTTACTTCTACGCTTTGTGAATTTCACAAAACATGCTGGCACTAATATCTTTTTATGTTTTTTTTTCTGTGCCTGTTAGACCGGTGAGAGGCTGTAGGAGCTGAGGGGCCATTCCCAGCAAATAACAGCCATAACCACCTTCACCTGTAACAATGGCGTCACTTTGCTTATCACAGCTTCATCTGACAGAAGTCTCAGCGTATCCTTGTATCAAATGAGTCCTACATTTACACCCACACACTAAAATCTGGTTTGTGATTCTGTGATTCTTCTTAACCTCATTTATCAGTTGTGGGACCCTGATATTGGCAACAGGGTTCAGACCATTTCAGATCTTCAGTTTTCTGTAAAGGTAATTGCCCAAATGGGATTTCTTTCCCCCATATATACAACTGTAAATAAAAACAATGTAAATTAAAAACTAGTCAAAAGTTAGAATAGGCTTACCTAAACCAAAATGTTAATTTGAGCATTAGGTATTTTGTCTTTGTACTGTTACCAAATTAATATAGGGTAAACATTTCATTTTGTGTTTATTTGCACAGTCTCCCAGCTCTTTTGGAATTGAGGTCTTACACATGCATCATAGAAATACTTTTTTTTATCTTCAGCGATCAAAAACTGAAAGTAGTTTGGCAGGAAACAGTTTCTTTATAGTAACTATAGCTGCAGAATGACTACATCAGAGCCTCATACATTTTAACAGAGGACATCTACAGTATGTCTTGGTCCTTCACATGAAATGTTCTTAGATATTAGTCATGTCATGCAACTCTGGGCAATTATGTTTGTGTTGGAAAGAAATGTAATACTAGTTAAAGTTTGACACCAACGGTTGTTGCGCCAGGTTTAATTTAAGATAAAAATGGTTAATTGCCTCCTCTTGGTCATAGACTAGGCTTAATTGAAGCATCTATAATTATATTTCATTTCTTTCCTCAGTGGTGTTTTGTGTGCATGTCAGATTAAAAAATAGCTCCTACTTTTCGCGTGCTAAGCTGACTGTGTGTGTCTGTTGTGAGGCGTGTTCTTTTTATACTGAAAAGAGAAGACTAATAAGAGGATATATATTTCACAGTGTGAAATTTATTATGCATTAACGTATCAAAATTAGCATGTGCACATTGATCTTCACTGTTTAGGATAAACAGAAAAGACTGTCCTCAACTTGTCGGTATACAATATTTGTATGAAAAGGTGCCACTATCTGATTGGTCAAAAACTGTTGGGAAGAAGCTGTGGTTTAGACTTAACTCTCCCGTCATTGGTCCCTCAGTCCTCGTCCGGTCTCGTTCTTGGCACGACCTTGTCCTGAAACAGACACTTTGCACAACCCACAATGCTTCTTGTTATCTCGGCAACCCTGAGACTGCACCTGGACTTGTTTTCTTCTAGACCAACATCTGACCATAACCTTGGTGTAAATCTTAGTATCTTATCAAACCCCAACTCCCCTGGCTTCAAGGCTCAGAGGGAATAATGAGCTCTTTTAGAAAAGGCAACAAATGTAATGAAAGCCGGTGGGATGATTAGACCTTGGAAAACCACTCAGTCCACCAGACTTTTAATCACAAGAGCCTGCAATATCACACAAGTTTTCAGTGTCTCCTACAGAAACTTATTTTCCCTTTATTTTAGTGAACATATAAGTGGGTGAAAAGTAATTACATAAACATATCTGTGACATGTAGGTATGTATACTTATGTCTCCTATAAAATGAAACCATTCATAAGTGTGTAAAATAAAAATCACCCTAACACTGTGTTTGCTGGTGCTGGAGTGGCTGTGTGTGGGGAGGAACTGTGCATGTGGAGCAGACAGTGTCACAGACAGAACCACAGCGACAATGGAAAGGAGAAGCAAAAGGAAAAATATGATCTGGCTTGTTGACTGTTG